TAACTTTACAATATTTACCGTGCAATACATGTTATTGAAGCTGTATAGTCCCACAGTAACACATACGCTGGAAAGAATGAGATTGGGGACCCATATTTGCCCTTAACTCAGTCCTGGTCCAAGCGAAATTGGCATCAGTTATTCAGAAATTTACTTTTTAAAGGTGAGTTTGGATGCATCACAATGGTGTATATAAAAAAAAGAGCTGGGAAAGGGGTAATATTCTATTATTATTATATTCTATAATATTAAAAACATAGATTTACAAGAAAAAAACTGGATACTCTCTGAGATTAAAGTAAAGTAGTATATTGACTTTGTGTCAATCAGGTTTACACAATTAAAATTTTCAGAACAGGTTAACATCTGCATACCCTACTTTTAATAGAGTAGGATGCAGAACCTTTAATAACACAAGCACATGTGAAAAATAGCATTTTCAATGGTGTTTTTTTCTTGTAAATTTACCACTTTAATCTTTTCCGTGTTTTGTCCCAGAATATTACCCCCCTCCCCCAGATCCATAAAAAAGTTAAAAGTACAGTAGTTATTTGTCTTCACATTTTCAGAACAGTTTTTACTCCATGCCTCAATTGTTTGACATTGTTAGCATATAATAAATATTTTTGTTTTGTGCCTGCACAAGTACAGCCCCCTAATTCTGGATTTTAGTATGTATAAACTTTCCACCATTTTGCCATCAAAATATACCGCACACTCAATATATGCCAGATGATTTATATAGTTTGCATTCAGTGTAAACAGGCAACATTTCACTTATAATAAACTGTGTCTGTACAGGCGTAGATACACATTATTACACTTGTTTGTGTAAATGATGCTTTTTCCATTCAAAGTCATCAGTGTCATATCTATCACCTGTGAGATTTATTAAGTAAAGCATTGATTGTGCAGCCTGACAAACTTTTGCACTAGTCATTAAACAACCATAAACACATGTACCTTAAAACAGGCATTTCTTCCTCAGTGGTTACTGTGCAAAACTTTGTGCTAAACTGGAGGTTTCCCCTCTTGAGATACATCTTTTACACAATATGATTTCAATTTATGTTGGTCAAAGCAAAAAAATCAACTGAGTGTGTAAGCTCACAATAATATCGCTTAGAAAATTGTCTATTTACAATGGCATACCATTCTCTTCTCCAGTATTTGAGCCTGTCTGTGTGAATGGGGGAGAGAGTGGTTCATGTTTACAAATTCAAAATGATAAAACCAGCATGTGTGAAGTATTTTGTACAGGCTGGATTCTAAGTTCTTACACTTTTCGAAGCTTGACATTATCTCTCCCTTGTATTTGTGTGTAAGAATGGGATCTTGATACAGCAGATGTAATCAAAGTCAATTGTTGGCTGGACTGTGTAATTTATTACTGGTTGGTTTTGAGAGAGATACATGCAGATGATACAAGATGGACTCACTGACATTAGCTCCTTTTGAATGGTTTGATGTAGAGAGCATGCTGAACATGTAAAATACTTTGATAGGTAAAGACCAAGCAGGTGTTTTTGGTATTAAGAAAGAGTAGTCCTGCTGTGTGCTGCCAACTTCTCCCTCCCTCTCATCTTTCAACCTTCCACCTGCCGTCCCAACTTCTACCTACCCCACCACCAATGCCATTTTTCCTCTCCTTCTCTTTCACTCTGCCTCTTTCTGTGTATGTTAGCCACTGTAAGGTCACTGTCCTGATGAGACAATGACTCTGAGTCAACCGGTTCAGTATTAAAAAAATGTCCTATCTAGTGTGTGTGTGTGTGTGTGTGTATGTGTGTGTCTGTCTGTGTGTACTACAGCTGACGGATAAGGTGATTAAAAGTGCACCTAGGAACCAGGAGAGTAGAAGGACAGAAGTATAAAACAAACACACACACTGTGCCCTCCCATTAGAGTCTTCTGTATGTTTTTAAAAACTAAAGGACAGAGGAGAGAGGATTTGTCTTCCATAGCTGTAACCATCCTTTACAAACTAACAAAGTGAATCCCAAACTCTTCAAAGTGAAAAAAGTTTGAATATTTCAGAGATTGTATCAGTTAAATACTGTCATACCAACAGACCTCTGGATATCAATTATACGCACATCACGTATCTTCAGATAGGTGGCCAATGTAATTAATCATCCATTCTTGCTGACATTCATTAAATTTGTGACATGTGACACTTAATCGGCCAGTTAGAAGTCTTGCTCTTCCATGCGTGCAGAAACTCAAACACGTTCATGCGCCTTTGTACTCCAAAGGATATTTGTACACGTGCAGACAGAAGTATGTACATAGAATTTAATACCCCAAATGAGTGTTGTTTTTTTTCACTATGTGACACATGGATAACTGTGTGTATAAGTACAGTCCTTGCAGATACACACCAAAGTGAATGGATAAAAAGAGCAGTTTTTCAGATCCTTTTATCCAGATCATATTGAGTATATGTACTCATGATTCTTAGAGACATCATATCATACACTTTTGAGTTACACCCAGAAGCTTGGATGAGAAAAACCTGTTTTCCTTTCCTCCCCACTTAGAAATCCATCACACCACCTGATCTGCACCATAAATAAAGTCACCTGCTAAGTCCCGCAACACTGCCACTTGTCTCAGGTTACAGTTTGTTTTATGGCTCTTTTCTATGGCAGGCTAATTATTTGAACATGTGTTAAAGCTCAGCTACCTATGTAGGGATACATGCACGCAGCATACTGTGTGGCAGAAAACTAGGGAGTTGAACAGGAAAGCAGTGAATTATGTTTTTTACTCTGTCCAATAGGTGGAATGAATCAAACTGGGGACGGACAATTTTAGGAGTGAAAGACAGAATGGTATGGAGCATTAAAGTGTCAGTGTATACCTAGACGGAGGGAGACATTTCTAAAATATTGTGAATGAAACTTACTCAGATAGAGTTGCAGACTCAACATAAACTGCTTTTAATTGCACCTTTTGAACTGTATTAGTTAAATATGTAGAGAAGTGTGGCAGTGAGAGAAACATATATTAAGCATATAACCATCCACTCGCCCATCCACCTACAAGGGTTTTAGGGTTTTTATCCCTCTCCTTTAATACATTCTCTTTATCCCCCTTTCTTTTGTCTTCCCATTTTCTGTTCCTCCTATTTAAATGTCTGGCTAATTGTCTAAAAGTCTGCTACTGTGAACATTTTTCTCCTCAAAATGAAAACAGCTGAGCCCCCTCTGAAATCTTCTGTGAAAGAAATGGCAGTGCATTCCATGCTGCTTTGTAATGCTGTCATTTATCACAGCATGTGGACCATTAGTGTGAATCATTTATTGTCTTTGGCCTGCTTGAGATTCCTGAACTGTGGCAAGTCTGTATGGAATAAAAGCATGGTTTAAATATTGTGCATCGTGATTGAAGGGCAAGCATGTAACAAAGCAGCCTGTGTTTAGTGTGTCTGAAAAGCAGCTAAAGCGCTTAAAAGCATGATCAGCTATGTGTGTGTGTGTGTGTGTGTGTGTAAAACTGTTGTAACCACATTGGTAAAATGTGAACAGTGTGTTTGCGTGTGTGTGCTTGTGTACATCCGTGTGAGCATTAGCTGACTCTAAGAATACACAGCTAAGTGTTTTTCCTTGTTGTGTATATTTCTAAAGTGACAGGAGAGTGGGAAAAGTCAACATACGCATGGCTGACTTTAACCACCAACTCCATAATTACTGTGTCAGTGTTGCCGCGGAAATGAGGTAATGAGCCTGGTCTCCAATGACATGGCACCATCTCCTGAAATCATCTGACGGCCTCCCACACATCTGCGCTTTCCATTGAGACGTTTTGTCTTTTGATATTATTATTGTTGTTGCTTTTGTGTGTCGTGTTTCCAGCGTTTTCCTAGTTAGTGATTAGAGCTGAACGATTAATCGTTTTCAAAATCGAAATTGTGACTTGAAAGAACGCGATTAGCTAATCGTGAAGATGGAGATTAAATGTAGGTTAATTATACAGCGCATCTGACCCATTTTAAACAGTCATGCAGACAGATCTGCTCGCCAATCACAAGCACCATACACCTCCTGTTACGGTCCTACTCACCAGTCAGAGCGGGCGCAGGGCGTGTACATTTTATAACAACAAACTAAACTAGAGGAAAACATTTGGGATTATGGCGCCAGCCGAACAGACACAGGCAGCGGCTGTGCTGCGATTTTGTCCGGCGTCAACTCATACTGAAGTGTTCCAGCAGTAGAGCGTTTAGCCAACACGTTGTTAATATGTTGTTAATTTGTCATTTTGTGTGCTTCAACTACGGATAACAGCTCTCTCTGAGCCTGTTCTATTCCACTCTGTGTGGGCTACAGATTGTACATGGAGCATTTAAGAATAAGAGCATTTTGCCCATCTGATTTTGCTGACTTATTCAGATTTTGCTTATTTGTTCAGTTGTCCTTGATTGTTGTGCTTCTATGGTTAAGTTGGCTATGTAGTTCAATTGTGTCTTTTTTTGTTCTGTTTATTGTTGATGTACGATCGGGAGTCTCCAAAAGGGTGTTTTATTTTGAAAATCGACCAGATTCTCTATGCCGTTCTATGTTCAGTCAAAAATAGACTGGCAGTGAATACTGAACTTTAGCAAAACTTCAATAAAAAAAATCGCAAATCGAATCATAATTGCAATATCTGGCAGAAAAGTCGCACTTATATTTTTTCCCCAAATCGTTCAGCCCTTTTAGTGATTAAATAACTTACCAGTATGAACACATATTGTTCACCCGTTTAAATTCAAGGGCTCGACTGCAGTTGACAAATCGGTGCTCACTACTCTAACCACAGCGCGTGACATGAGCTTTTTCACTTGCTAACTAAACTGTTAGTTTCCCTGCCACATCATAACTGTTTCACATATAAAATCTATACTGTCTGTTAGCCAGTATCATAATGATTTAATTTAAATTTTGTCTTATGTTTTCTGGTTAACTTAATACCTTGTCCCAAAGTAGTCATTAAGTTTCCTTTGTCTCTCTCCTCAGATCTGAAGAAGTCATTTGAACAGGAACCCCTGGGAAAGGAAGTGTCTCTGGAGCAGGAAGTGCTGTTACAGTGTCGCCCTCCTGAGGGCATACCAGCTGCTGAGGTATGTGCAGCGTTATTGTTAACCTCTGCCTGAGGTGAATATAAAGTAAGATGTGAGCTTGAGAGGACTTCTAGAACAGAACGAGAGAGTGACTGAAGAGACGGGATGACAGAGGATGTAAACAGATGTAAAAATAGAAATCATCAAGTGGAAATAACTTGAAAGTGCCACAGAAAAGTCACTTATTACAGATGTGACACTTTTGGAATTGCCTGGAACTGTGAATGACAGACAGCAGAACACAGTGGTTTGATGGGTACATGCGCTCTTTCAGTTTGCAGTCAGAGTTTGAAGGATGTGCTGAACAAAAATTAATCCTGACCCTTTTGACAAATATTGTTAAATAGCCTGTATTACTAGTGTACTAAAACTGATAACACTTAATATCTCAAAACTAAAATATGTGTTCAACAGGGATCATCCTAAATTTTCATTTAGTAACTATGTAACCGAGACAAACAATGAATTGCACCTAATCACAGTAGCAAAATAAAATTATATATTTTTAATATGAGCATGGACAATGTTTAATAAATAAATAAATTAGCAAAAAAGGATTTGTCTTGTTTACAGAAATAAAAAGCATTTTTTTTTTCATATTGCACAACAACATTCGTCTTGAATTGTCACATGGGGAAATCAGGCGAACAGCCTGAATCGTGTTTTGAGTGACAGTTGCTTGAAAGCTCTGCTGCAACGAGGTAACACTGATCCAAAGATCCAAAGTTTAAAGTTAGACTTAAATGTCCCCGGAGAGCCAATTTGAGTTGCAGCACAAGTTATATGAAGAAATCTCTGTGACTGCAGAGGCTCAGCCTATATTTCTGTGTTATTTTACATTTTCATTGCTCACTCCCTTACTGTACCTGGGCTTGGCAGAAAATGATGAAGATAATTAATGAAAGTGGATTGCCTGCTTTCGACTGAAAAACACTGCCACTGCATATTCCTTTTTCATTAACACAGATGTACATATTCCTGAATTGAAGTGAATACACTTGCAGTGAAAGGGGAAAAGAAATCGAGCACAATTTAAATTTGCACTAAGTAAAATCACAACATCATTTTTGTTGCCCATTTAAGCAGTTACTTACTACTTCGCCCAAGAACACTTTGATAATCAAGGCCCACTTTATGACGTCAGAGGTTCCCAGCCATGCTAGTAGTTTAAACGGGTGTGGAATTTAAGTGAATACAAGTGTGGTAAACAGATACATACTCACACTATCACAACATTACTCTCCTCAATGTAAGATAATATTGTATACCTCCAGTACATTGTCAGCACATTGACAATTTATTCACTCATCAAACGAGTTGCGCAGTAAACATCCACTTTGGAAGTGCCACATGTCACTTCCACTCCCGGAGGGCTTTAACTACAGAGAAGAACGTCATTCACAATTCAGATTATTCTTTACTTTCCTAGTTTCATCTGGCTGCGTTCCCACTGAATGGATAAAAAGACATAATTTCATTAAGTCGGTCACAGGGGAAGAGCAACGCAGCACTTGGAGAGGGCTGTGCTACCGGATAAGGAGTCTCTGAATCAGGTTTCGCTCCTTAGGGTTTGATAGTCGTTTTCAATTGCACCTAAGTACACAGCTCCCCTGAGGGAGAGGGGTGGGGGCTGAAAGAGAGAGGGCGAGGGGAGCCACTCAGACAGACCAGCATACAAAGTGAGTGAGAGAGAGAAAGACGGTGAGATGAGAAAGGGGGAGGAGTGGTGGGGAATAACAGAATGACCCTTTTCCTGTCCTTTCACTTCACATCTTAAATTCCTCTGAGGGAAATCAAGAAAATAAATTGGTCATATTGTGACATCAATTTCACATTAGGAGCCACTAAGACTTTCACAAACAAACACAGAGGGTATTTTTCACTCACTTTTTCTCTTTTTCTGCCACACACCCACGTTCCCACTAACACCTCACGCTCCCTCATCTTGGAGACAAATCTCCCCACTAATGAGTCATTACTACTGCTGCCTCTTTATTTTTGAGACCAGTTTGAACACAGCACATACTTACAAACCACACACACATTCATGGACACAACGACACTCAGCTATTTTTTTTCAGTGTGTTGAATTTGCTACTTTTTCCCATTCCTTTCTCCTGTCATAATGGGATCTCAGGGCAAATGGATTGGTCTGTCTCCCCTGTCTGCTGAAGCTGATTAGAGGGATTTAGGTTTAAAACCAGCTGATGACCTCAGGTTGTAGCCCTAACTTTCTGTTTTATCTCTTCTGACTTTCTATTTCTCTTTGTTCTTATCATGCCCAGTCTCTTTTCCATTCACATTTTCTATTTCTTCTACAGCTCAGACCTCCACACACACACACACACACACACACACACACACACACACACACACACACACACACACTCGACCATGTTTTTTTTTCTTCTTCTTTTTGATTGACAGCTGCCGTTGTTGGTGTCATGTGACCTCTCTCAAAATGTTCTAATATTAGTCGCTGCGGTTGCCGTGTCGACCAGTTGACGACTGTTGTAAAGTTGTCAATGTGATAGGGTCGGTGCCCTGTTATGTGATATCCGCATCGTTATGCCCAGCTGGCATCACGTGGCTGTCAACATGCCCCACCAAAGCCTTGACTCCCTAAACACTCACACCTACACACAAAATGCACATTCATATTCACTCAGTCAGCATCTGTATACATACACATACCGACATATGCACACAGATACATACATGTACCCAGATATATGTGCATATACAGCTTTAAAAAAATGTGCACACACACACACACCTACACACACATACACTAATGCATGACAAGAGTTACACTAAGGGACAGATTAGCCAGGGATCATTTTAACTGCTGCACAACTGTTAGCCTTGAGAGGTCAGGGTCAAACCAATCTGAGATTGGAAAGAAAATGTCTGCACACCCAACCAATGCACCATTATTTCCTTTTCACTTTCTCTTACAGGACTGCTCTTGTCATCAGTCAGTCTCTTCTCTCTATTTTTTTCTCTCTTTCAGTCTAAAGCTCCTGAGAGACACAATTTGAAGCATTGTGAAATCCTTGAGAAACATCTAAATCTCTTTAGACTGTGATAGAAAGCCTTTAAAGGCTGATGGAAAGCTATTGGATTCAGCAGGGAGGGTTCAGCAGTTCAACGGGAAAGGCTTTATGGACACAGATGGTGAATTGAGAGAACTCTCAACAAGTTCAGCACAATGTTCACTTTCAATGAACAATGCCCCCACTTTGATTTAATTTTATTCTGGTTTGGTTATTTTTTTGTAAACTTTTTATTTTATTTATTTACTTTTTTTAGGCCAAGGTCATCCAATGTAGTCAAGATAATGGATTTGCCCATTAAAGTTTCTTAAAAAACTCCAAGCAGCAATGTGAAATTTAGACCTGAGCCGCAGTCTACTTGTATATTTCTTCTACAAATATTGTGAGGTTCATTAGGACATAAAGGCCACAGAATGAGGCAGCAGTCTGGCTGCAAGAATGCATTTCTATATTGAAACCCAAAGAGTACTGTAGGAGTGACCCCACAGGCCAGGCAAAGCCAGTAGACGGCACATAGCAGGTGGGGTTATGGATTAGTGCGTGTGTGTGTGTGTGTGTGTGTGTGTGTGTGTGTGTGTGTGTGTGTGTGAGAATATTTGTGTATGTGCCTGTCTGCGTTTGTCTCTGTGTTTGACTGATTACCCCAGCTGCAGTGAAATAAACACATCAGTGTGTGGTGACAGGCCCTCCACGTGTCTGTCCCTAACACACACACACACACAGTCAGACAGTAACTGGATATGTGTCTGGATCCTGGTCAAGTTCCTGTCACATTCTTAACCACTCAATCCACAACCTAAATTAGCGCAAGTTATTCACTCGGATAATGGCTTACGGTCAACCTACAGGCTACATAATCTGTCTGAATGTAATCTTTCATATCAGAAAATGAATTAGAAATAAATTCAGAGACCTACAGTTTTTATTGAGAAATGTTATATAATATTTCATTCACTTAAAGATATGGATTTGGAATATTTTGTTGTATATTATGGATGGAGGAGAGCCGACATGATTTAGGCGGAATAGATTAAGGGTCCAGATGGAGGGATGAGAGATGCAAGGGTGAAGGGACGGAGCGGGGAGGAAGCAGAGTGAGGTGTTGAGGGAAGAGTGAGGGGGTCAAGGGGATGAGGGAGATAAGTGAAGGATGAAGGGATAAGGGTCAAGGGATGGGGATGAAGGGCGAGGGATGAAGAGGTTAGGGTAGAGGGATGGAGGGATGAGGGTCGGGAAGGATGACGATCGAGGGATGCTGGGATAAGGGTTCGAGGGATGGAGGGGTGAGGGTAGAGAGATAAAGACATAAGAGGTGAGGAATGAGGGAATGGAAGGTGAGGGATGAAGGGTTGAGGGGAGGAATCGGGGTTAAGGACGCATGGATGGAAGAGAACGATGGAACGGTGTCAGCTGGCAGCATTGAGACAGGAGGAAACGTCGTGGAGACGTGGAGACGTCTCTTCATGTGCTTCTCTTGGGATAGAGGCCCCGGTGGTTCCTGCGTTCAGAGAAAAGAGGCAGAAGGTGAGAGAAGAGGGGGGAAAAAGAGGAAAATGGGGTTTGGGTGGAAGGGATGTGAAAACTGAGTCAGAGGGGAAAGAGGAAGGATGAGGTGCGCTTAAATACTTCTGTGCGGAAATGAGATGTGTTTGAGGTGTGGTCTTTGTTCCCGAACCTGGTTATAAAACTTCCATTTATATTTACATCACATGAAGTAACAGATCATCGTTATGTGCACCAGGATGGCATAGGGAGATTGTCCTTGAAAGATGGCATTTAAATACAAGCTCCGAGCTCCATATCAGCAAGACAGACATCCAGCTGCCAGCTCCAAGGTTGCTGTTATGTAGTTGATCACGGCCAGCAAGACATTCATGGTGTACAAATGTGTGTTTGTGTGAATCCTGGAGGCACAGCTGCACGTCTTTCTCTCTCTCACACACA